ACTAGCTGTTGCTCAGGCAATGGCTGAGGGAATGAGCCCAGGTTAGTAGAACTACAGACAACATTTTTTCCCCATTTTAGATAGAGTAAGGGAGGGTTATAACCTTTGTCAGTTTATTTTTTGCCATCTGTATCCCACTGGGAAGATTTAACTTAACTTCCTGTCCCATAGCCAAAACAGGAAGTGAGTGAAAATCCCTGCAAATTAAGGGAATTCCTTGGGGCCCCTCAGGTCACCAGAACTAGTGTCCCTATTGGAAAATTCACAATCCATTTATTTTCTGGGGACAACCCTAAATTTTGGGTTTTCTTTTGCTTTCACTTTCAATGATAATGTAAAACAAATAGGACAAATTGAGAGGGCGAATCTCCCTAATTGGGGCGCAGACAGCAATAAAGACCTGACGTGGTTCTAATCCATCTCTACTCTATCCAAAACAAACAAAAAATTGTGCCTTTAGTTATACTTTAAATAGAAAAGGAGATGCCGTGACTAGGCATGTAGTTGAATGGATCAACCGAAGCTGAATTACCAGTTTTGAGCACGTCTTGAGGAATAACAGGTAAGAATAGAACCAAGATGGCCGACTTCCGATGTCACCTAAATTGATAATGTTCAGATGAGATGACGTGACAGAAGGAGACATTTTGGGACTTTTTTGAGTTAAATATTTTGGACACTTAAAATATATATAGTTTGTTTATATACAGTATATGCTTATGGTGTACCTTTATATTTATGGGACACAAGAGAGTTATTATTTGGTCTGATCCCATGCATTTTATTTATGTTTGATTATTGATTGCACTGTTTTTCACATTAAAGACTTTCAGTTGATGTGGGAACACATGACACTAGCTGCTGCAACCAGATTTTATGTATTAATATTTGCACAGAATTTGTTTTTACTTAGTAGTTAGTTTTTGGTAACACAGAGGATGTTTTTCTTTTGTTAGCAATAAAAACCTGCAATCAGATGTACTTTCATGGAATAAGGGTATTCTCAACATACGTGTAAAATAAAATCTAAAAATATAAAATAAGTATTTTTAATATGTATAACAGGAATTACAGCTGAATTCCAGGATAAGCAAATATTGTCTAAATATAAGAGGCACCATACATGTGTATGCTTGCTTGAATCTAGGTGTGCTTTGTGTGCATTACAAGTGTGAATTGAACTTTATTTAATTATGTATGACAGGAATTAAAGCAAACCAATAAGTAGATGTGGTGGCTGCATTCATTTTATTTTTTTACACTCATTTATTCCTTTATTTTCACCTGGTGAATGATTAGTAACATACCTTCTGTTCTTAAGGTGACTACCTGCACTCCTCCAATGTATCTGTGAAGGAGCAATGTAGCCACTCTTGGACAGCAGCATTATCAACCAGTGGAGAAGGTTTTGGTTATGTACTTGGAATGGATGGAGTAGAGTGTACATTAGTGACTAAAAATGTAAAGTCAACATCAGCTAACACTTTTTAAGTTACAGCTATAAATATAATAAGAGGCGTAGCGCTAGAGATGATATTATTTGTGCGATTTCAAGCCCAAAAAACCTATCGGGTGTGCTAAAATGTCCTCTGGTAGAGTTCAGACATAGGTACATAAATAAAACAAAAATGAGAATTCAATCCCAAGGTGATATATGAAATAACAACCAGAATCTCTAAGTGCCTTTAATTCTTCCTCCCAGTCAGTGCTCCACAGCTCCTCTGCTCCTTTCGTCTGAGTTATGTGCTTCCTGCTCTTCTCTCAGGACTTTTCTCCATTGGGGTCACATATCCAGCACTTGTATGCAGATCGGTTCAAGTGCAAACGCGTTTTGCCTTTTTACGCCCTTTTAAAGGCACTTGGAGATTCTGGTTGTTATTTCATCATGCCATTAATTCACAAAGGGTCAAACTATCTGGGGACCTCTGAATTCAGCAGACTACCTATTACAGCTTGATGACCACACCATAGAGGATAAGTTCACCGGAGTGAACTGCCCATCTACAGATACCTTGACGGTTTATATCACATGCGCTTTTCTCATGCGCTTCCGATGAGTGCGCACTTTAGCTACTGGTTGGCGTCACAAGCTTGTCTGCTGTTGTTTATATCACCTTGGAATTCAATTCTCATTTTTGTTTTATTTATGTACCTATGTCTGAACTCTACCAGAGGACATTTTAGCACACCCCCTAGGTTTTTTGGGCTTGAAATCGCACAAATAATATCATCTCTAGCGCTACACCTCTTATTATATTTATTGTTTATTTCAAAGGTTTTAGATTGGTACCTTTTGGTGCTTTAGCAGCTGCCTTTTAGGAGCGCTCACTATCTTCATTTTTTTATATAGTTACAGCTATCCTACAGGTTTCCTACTATAACAAGTTGATTGCCCTAGCCAGGGGGAAGGGATGCATTTTCCCGCTCTTTTTGGGCTCTTCCTTTCTCCCTGTGCTTTAAATAAAAGGGGGGAAGGGCTCTGCACTGGAAGAGCTGATGCATGGGAAGAAGGCACAAACAAGACATAGCATGTAATCTCCAGCTATTACACAGTGTCTTGAGGGATCGTCAATGAGCTGCAGGTGAGCCTTCAGGGAGTTTTCCACCAAACTCGGGTTGGGGAACTTCATAACGGAATCTTGTAAAAAGGCAAGCTGGAACTTGTAGTCTGCTCTGAGGAACATCCACTCATTGGGACACTGTCTTTGTGGACTCCTGCCATTCTTACCACTTATGGACTCAAGCAGGTGTGCTGGGCAGCCACAGTTAGGATCAGTTAAGGAAAGGACTCTTGCTTGTTAAACAGTTATGCTGAGTTTTATCACTAAAGCCCATCTCTAAACTGGAGGACTGTCTTAAGGTTGACTTTCCTGAGAAGTGGTCTCTGCTTGTCCCCGGGTATTGGTGAGTGCAGTACAGCAAAGCTACCCCATGTGCAGGGCAAGTGATCCCGCCCACAGAGCCTAGCCCAGAAGAGCCCAATATCCCCCTCCTTGCTCAAATGCACATTGCTTCAGGGTGCCTGCCCTGGCTTTTATCTACATCATCTGCAGTCATTGCAGTATGTTCCTGTCTCATGTCTGCTGGGAGCTCTAACAAGCCTCATTTCCAGAACCTAAAGTGCATTCGGAGAGCCCCTTTAACCTCAGTTGGACCATCCTCTTCAGCTTCTGTTCCTGACCTGATGTCCTGCCAGACCTTCTGAGCCAGCATCTCCTGCTGCAAGGTCTATCATCTACACCAGACGGCACTTGTGTTCCTCCTGTCCCTCAGTACCATCTGTTCCACATTCAGAGAGGTCTGGGCTGGAGATGCAAAAGAGGCTAACCTTGTCATTTCAGTATCCTATCAGGACCAAGACTGCTGTCGTATTACTGCTGACAGACTGTAACATACCTTGTAAGTCAATTTTGATTTTGGCCATAGTTATGTTTTTTTTTTTTTCAGTTAAAGCTATACTTACACTTTATGTCTTGTTAATTCCTTTTGTTGGGCATTCAATAGTGAGGTAGAACAAGCATTGAGTAACTTTAAACCCAAAAGAAAAATATAATATATTGCAGCTAAACAATTAGATGTGGTGGTTGCATTTGATTTCTATTTTAGACGTCTTTCTGTTATTTTCACCTGGTGATTCAGTCTGTAGGTCTGTTATTTTTCAATTTTCTTTAACAAAGTTGTCCAGCAAAGGTTGCATTTAAAAAATTTGAGACAAACCATTTACACTGATAGGGTTGCCCAGGGGCGGACTGACAACTCATGGGGCCCCCCCGGCAATAGGGGATCATGGGGCCCCTGTGTCCTTGCCCAAACTCAAAAAAGCCTATGAAAAAGGTACCAGGGGCATCTCATGGGGCCCCCTACTAACCCCAGGCCCTTGGGCGGTGCCCGAGTTTCCAAATGGCCAGTCTGCCCCTGGGGTTGCCTACAATGATCAGGTTATTTTCATTTACATAAAGCCTTTATCCAAAAAGGTTGCATCTAACACCACCAGTGGTGTGGAGACACCCTAGTTCAGGGAGTGTGTTACTAGCAGGATCACCAGGTGAAAATAAAAGGAATACATGCTAAAAAAAAGAAAATTAATGCAGATGAATTCCAGATATGGTATAATTTTACACAGTCACATTGGTCCAGCTTGGACAAATATAACTATGTATAAATCATATCTGGCCAATGCCTCCGGAAGCTGGAAGTCACTGACAGACCCCGATACTCAAATGATCTCCACTAGTTTTCGGGTCCCATGCAGAGTGGAGGTCAGCCGCTCAGCATGGGCACCTTTCAGATAATGCTTTATCATCAAAGAAAGGTAGCAGAATACATTTCGGCCTAAATTTATGAAGAAAGATTATTTGCAAAATTTTATAACAGAGACTAAGAAAAACTCTATTTTTTTTCGAAATGTTTGGTATTTTTAATTTATATATAAAAAAAAAAAAAAAAACCCAGTGGTGATTAAATACCACCAAAATAAAGCTTTATCTGTCTCAAATAATTGTAAAAATTTCATATGGGTACAGTGTTGCACTGACTGAGTAATTGTCACTCAAAGAGTGACAGGGCTGAAAGCTGAAAGTTGACCTAGACTAGAAGGAGATGAAAGTGTCCAGACTTGCAGTGGTAAAGGATTGGTAAGCTGCAATATAGTACATTTTTGATTTGGGGTTTAATACCCAAATATTTCTGCATCATGCAAGACTGTAGGTTAGTTTCAAAATTTCCATCCCTAGACCTATACTTGATTAGCTTTTGATATTTTGGATCTAAATACTGACAAGTCACAAACTAAACAGCAGGTTAACCAGCAACTTTTCCTGACAAAATTCCAAGTTCCTCCACAAGATAAAGGGAAGCTATCAAGGCTACCAACATGACCTATTAAAAGAGCATTTTGCGTTTGATCATCTATAGTTATGTTGCCACGCAGCCTTGCTGTCCTATTGTTCTTTTTGGGTGCTCTTAGTCAAGGTGATGGGAGTAGGCTGCTTGTTGTTCCTATGGATGGCAGTCACTGGCTCAGCATGCTGCCCCTGGTAGCAAAGCTGGGTCAAAATGGCCATCATGTTGTGGTGGTCATGCCAGAAAGCAGCCTGTTAATGAGAAGATCTGAACTATACAATATAAAGACATTCCCTGTCCCATACACCAATGAAGAGATTAAGGGAAAGTTTCAGAAAATGGCCAGTGAACACTTTACTGCTCCCAATTATTTTCCTGGGACTGCTTTTGCAATGCGCAGCAGCATGATGGTTATATTTAAGATGTTCTACAACATGTGTGAAAGAATGTTACTCAATGAAGACCTAATACGTGAACTTCGGGAAGAAAAGTTTGATGCTGTCCTTACTGATCCATTTTTACTGTGCGGAGTGATACTAGCAGAACATCTTGACCTGCCCTCTGTGAATTTCTTAAGGGGGTTGCCCTGCTGTTATGACTATGTAAGTGCACATGGTGAAACTCCACGTTCCTATGTACCCAGATTGTTCAGTAAGAATGGAGACAGGATGACCTTTATGGAACGTGTGAAAAACATTATGGTCAATATGCTTGAGCCAAATTATTGTGGACCAATGTATGAACAATATGTGCAGTTGGGATCAGAGATCCTTAAAAGAGAAATCACTCCTGTGCAACTTCTAAGTAGAAGCTCTGTATGGCTCTTGAGATATGATTTTGTTTTTGAGTATCCGAGACCTATAATGCCTAACATGGTATTTATTGGAGGTGTTCATTGCAAGGAAGGGACAGTTCTGCCAAAAGTAAGTATCATTAAGATATTTTTATGTGTTTTTATATCACTGTTACCTAAACTATAACTAAAGGCATTTGTTTTTGTTTTGGATAGCGTGGGGAGGGATTAAAACACCGGTGGGATTTATATTACTCTCTGTGCCCCCTGTAGGGAGATTCATGCTTTCTACTTGTCCTGTTTACTGCCATATACCTGAGGGGAGATCTAGCTGAAGAGGGGACTTCTCCTTAATAACACTACTATAGCTGTCAGATGGTTAATGGGTATTCCAAAGATTAACAAATGTAAAATTCACAGTGGAGATATACTCATTCCTACAACAATAGTCAGTCTCTTGATGACTTTTTATTGCATTGTTTTTCTTTATTTCACTCAACATTTGTTCACAATAAAATTATTTATTTTTAACAGAATAAAGACAAAATGAATGATTAGTTGTAATGACAAATTCTCAGATTATTCTGTAATGGATATTGGTCAGTCTATGTCTCTTACAGTAACCATTTTGTCATTGTGTTGCAACCAATTGGCACATACAGTAAGTGAAAACCAAAAATTCTTATATCATGCAGTACATAATTACTATTATTTAGGTTTAAGAACAACATGTCTCATGTAAGAAAATTAAACACTAGACATCTCTGCAATAATAGTGCTTTGATTACAAAAAGGTGGTCTTCTGATTATTTGCTGTAATTGGTTATTTGACTGATGGCTGAAAAGCACCTCAGGGATGATGGTGGGCAAAGTGATGCCCAGGCTGTGGTGATTTATGTAAAAGACCACATTGTAGATTTTTCAACTGCTGTGAAAGACATGTGTGTTTTAGGGGAGACGTTCTGTCTGTTGTGGGAGAACAGACTGAGAGCCAGAACCAGTCTGATGAAAAGGCACTGTTAGGAACTGGATCACCTGCTGGTCGCGCTGTGGTTTCCCAACCTGAAGGGTGTAGTCCCGATGTCTACCAGCAGGTGTCTTTCAGTACCCAGCAATTAATCTCCACCTTATGCGGACTGCTGGAAGGGTATTTAGCCCCTTTTCTGGGTTTTCACAGTGTCTCTGTGTTTATATTCCTGCACCTGACCCAGACTTTACACCTGTTATCCTGATTCAGTATATCTTGTACCTGCCACCCTGACCCAGCTGCCATCAACCTTTCATCTTGTTCCTACTGTTTACAAATGTTACCCTGATCCTGCTGCTTCTAATTGCTCTCCTTGTACCTGATCCCCGTACTGGCCCCCTTCCTAACCCATTTCACATGTTCTCCTGCAAACCTCCCACCTGACTCAACCTTACCAGATCTCTCCCCCAACTGTATATAGTTAGTTAGATAAGGTTATCTTTCAATAGGTTTCACTTATTACACATGTTTGCTTTTACTTATACGTATATGATTGTAGTGTTTTATGATTTTGTCGCTTGCTGTGCTAAAAAAAACAACTTATTTTAATTACACATAGTTCCAGTCTGTTTTGTGCAGCTAAACATATGTAGCCACGCCTGCTTACATGGATAAGAATACCTACAGGGGCTTCACATCTACAACGTATGCGTTGCATTAAAGTGTAGTAAAGCGCAAATAGCAAGCTAACAAAATTGCACTGAATTCTCAAACAATGCCTGTGTTCTCTTTTGAGGGCTCTGTAGAGTAGTTCTGTAGTCCTAAGAAACTTCCTGCCCTAGGTTGACTCCATTGCAGTAATTTAATAACGGTGAATAGGTTGTTCACTTTGCTAAAAAATATGCCACAGAACCTAGTGAAAGTGGTGAAATTTAACTTCACAAACAATATCGAATCACCTACAAGTCAAATAAAAAAAAAAAAAATGCATTCCCTACAGTTTTACTGGTAAGCCAAAATACAGTCAAGTCCATAAATATTGGGACATCGACACAATTCTAACATTATTGGCTCTATATACCACCACAATGGATTTGAAATGAAACAAACAAGATGTGCTTTAACTGCAGACTGTCAGCTTTAATTTGAGGGTATTTACATCCAAATCAGGTGAACGGTGTAGGAATTACAACAGTTTGCATATGTGCCTCCCACTTGATAAGGGACCAAAAGTAATGGGACAATTGGCTTCTCAGCTGTTCCATGGCCAGGTGTGTGTTATTTCCCTCATTATCCCAATTACAATGAGCAGATAAAAGGTCCAGAGTTCATTTCAAGTGTGCTATTTGTATTTGGAATCTGTTTCTGTCAGCTCTCAAGATGAGATCCAAAGAGCTGTCACTATCAGTGAAGCAAACCATCATTAGGCTGAAAAAACAAAACAAACCCATCAGAGAGATAGCAAAAACATTAGGCGTGGCCAAAACAACTGTTTGAAACATTCTTAAAAAGAAGGAATGCACCGGTGAGCTCAGCAACACCAAAAGACCCGGAAGACAATGGAAAACAACTGTGGTGGATGACCGAAGAATTCTTTCCCTGGTGAAGAAAACACCCTTCACACCAGTTGGCCAGATCAAGAACACTCTCCAGGAGGTAGGTGTATGTGTGTCAAAGTCAACAATCAAGAGAAGACTTCACCAGAGTGAATACAGAGGGTTCACCACAAGATGTAAACCATTGGTGAGCCTCAAAAACTGGAAGGCCAGGTTAGAGTTTGCCAAACGACATCTAAAAAAGCCTTCAAAGTTCTGGAACAACATCCTATGGACAGATGAGAACAAGATCAACTTGTACCAGAGTGATGGGAAGAGAAGAGTATGGAGAAGGAAAGGAACTGCTCATGATCCTAAGCATACCACCTCATCAGTGAAGCATGGTGGTGGTAGTATCATGGCGTGGGCATGTATGGCTGCCAATGTAACTGGTTCTCTTTTATTTATTGATGATGTGACTGCTGACAAAAGCAGCAGGATGAATTCCGAAGTGTTTCGGGCAATATTATCTGCTAATATTCAGCCAAATGCTTCAGAACTCATTGGGCGCCGCTTCACAGTGCAGATGGACAATGACCCAAAGCATACTGCAAAAGCAACCAAAGAGTTTTTTAAGGGAAAGAAGTGGAATGTTATGTAATGGCCAAGTCAATCACCTGACCTGAATCCGATTGAGCATGCATTTCACTTGCTGAAGACAAAACTGAAGGGAAAATGTCCCAAGAACAAGCAGGAACTGAAGACAGTTGCAGTAGAGGCCTGGCAGAGCATCACCAGGGATGAAACTCAGCGTCTGGTGATGTCTATGCATTCCAGACTTCAGGCTGTAATTGACTGCAAAGGATTTGCAACCAAGTATTAAAAAGTGAAAGTTTGATTTATGATTATTATTCTGTCCCATTACTTTTGGTCCCTTAACAAGTGGGAGGCACATATGCAAACTGTTGTAATTCCTACACCGTTCACCTGATTTGGATGTAAATACCCTCAAATTAAGGCTGACAGTCTGCAGTTAAAGCGCATCTTGTTTGTTTCATTTCAAATGCATTGTGGTGGTGTATAGAGCCAAAAATGTTAGAATTGTGTTGATGTCCCAATATTTATGGACCTGACTGTATGTATAATTTTTGTTCTTAACGTTTAAATACTCTTTCATTTACATGGGAAAGAGCTAATACATAGGGGTATGCTCAGATTTTCTACTGCAAGGTCAGCTTTAAATAAAAAAGCCCTACTAATATAACAAAATTTGCATCTAAACAAAAAAAATCACTTCTGATTAACCACTTTACCTCCAGAAGGTTTTACCCCTTCATGACCAGGGCATTTTTTACTATTGAGCATTGTGCTACTTTAACTGGCAAAAAAGTTTTCTTTTGGTGGTATTTGATCCACACTGGGTTTTTTATTTTCTATTATATAAACAAAAATTAAAAAAAGAAAAAACATGTATTCTGCTACGTCTTTGGTAAAAAGAAAATCCAATAACTGTATTAATTGGTTTGGGTGAAAGTTATAGCATCTACAAACTATGATTTGTGTGTGTGTGTATATATATATATATATATATATATATCTATATTGGAATATACGCAGCTATAGACGCTATACTTGTAATGGCGGTGATTAGCGACTTAGAATGTGATAGTGTGGCAGACACTAACTGGCACTGACGTCACTAGTGACACTAATACAGCAATCATTGATAAAACAGTACGCAGTACTAATGACACTGGCTGGGAAGGGGTTAACATCAAGGAGCAATGAAGGGGTTAACTGTGTGCCTAACAAGTGTAATGTTTGCTGCGTTTACTCACAGATCTGGCTGTTTTTTCCCTGCTTTTCAGGGAGAAGAAGCAGCCAGATCGTTCTACTTACAGAAAGATCTGAGTGTTTGTAACACAGCAGATCAGCAGGTTTCAGCTGAAATCAATGGCTGAAACTTGCTGACAAACTATGCTATGTCCAATCACGACACAGGTCAGAAGCGGGTGCTTGCATATGTGC